TAAGTCTCTCTCCCTTTTCTCCTCTCCCTTCCCTTCTGGGAAAAGAAGAGGTTAATAGAGAGCATCTGCCATCCACTTTAAGTGCCAGCCCAGCCTTAAATGGTGACATATAGGTTGTGTACTTCTTTTAAGTTCATGCTTATATGAACAAGGTCTTGTCTTTTTATTAAAACCATGCCATCATGATTTCAGCGCTGGCAGTGATGGACAGAACCCATCATAACCTGCTCCAAACTGTTCCAACAGTTAATTATCCTATCAGGAATAATGTCCCACTTTTGTCTTTGTCTAATGTGAAGTTCCAGTTATTCAAGTTCATTAAACACCTATATCTGCTGGATGGAAAGACTATCTACAATGACATCATTTTGCAATGCAGTTTCTTTTAGACCATGAAAACAATGATCGTTTAAGATCCTTCTCAGCATTTCACTTAAATTATTTGCTAATCCCTCCACTGTTAACACAACGTTATTTTCCCCAACTTGCTAACATTTACATTTTTCTTCAAACCTGGATGTCCAAACTTGACGTAGCAATGCATCAAGGAGCCAGATCATATCTCGACTCAAAATCACACAGTCTTTTTTGCTATAACTTTGCAAATCTGCTTATTTTCACATGTAATGTCTTCTTTGATTTTTTTTTTTTTTAATTTAAAACTATTGCTTCTTCAAAGAACAGTCTATACGTTCTTTAATTTCCAAAGTGGCTACACTAGACCAGTGGCTCCCTAGCAGGTGAGGCAGGCAGCACTGGGAAGTTACAAACTGATGAGAGGTCAGGCAAAGACCAACTGAACACAGCTAAGCCCAAGCTGGTTCCCGCAAGGCCAGGCAGGACAGTGCCACTCTCCCAGAATGGGTGCAATATGCAGCACAGTGCACATGTTGTCCAAGTAGCTCTTGGTTTTGCTAGATGAATCCACCTGGGGAAGATGATGGCAACCCCTGGAGGCACCCAGCTTTATGTGGCAGGAGGAGCTAGGCAAAGCAAAGCTTGAGACATTATTTGTTTTCTCAAGGGAAGTGCAGCTGTCAAAGGACTGGAAGTCATGGCATTACACCATGTTAGAATGCATACATTTTGTTTATAGCTTGTGTATCACAAAATGCAAACTGGTTCATGTAAATTATGTTCAATTTCACACTCCACAGATACAAGGACTGATAACTTTATATTTTGAGATAGACAAATTACCTCATTCGAGAATACATTTATCATCTGTTATGTTAATTTCCATGTTCTAATTTCATGAATAAAGTGTGGTGCAGCATGATATCTTATGGAAGTCAGTCTATTACTTTACTAATTTTACCTTCAACAGCCAGCTGGTAATGTCATCACAGAAGATATGAGTACCTAGTTTTCATCCTCCAGTTGCTGTACCTTTACAAAGACTGTAATTAACCATTTTCACTCTGAATACTTTTCTTCATTGAGTCTTGTTCCAGTATTTGCATCAGATCAACACCAGACCAATATACCCATAATTGAATGTGCCATTTCATTTTATTTTGGTAAATATTGGCATCTTTTTTTCCAAATCCTCTGGAATGCCCTCAGTGCCCCAAAAATTCTAGCAGAAAGCCAATTACTGGTGGTTAAGAAAAATCCTTAGCCAGCTTTTTACACTCTGCAGTTCAACATATCCTTACTGGCTAATTTTAAAATGTCTAGATTTCACAGCCGCTGTTTCATGTTCCCCTTAGTTGCTAGAACAGAACTGTATTATGATAGAATTACACCTAGGTTCCCCCGCTAAACACAAACCAAAAGCACTTACTGAACACAGCTGCTTTTTCAATTACTAATGAATTTTTTATCATTGCATTATTAGGCCAATAGCAGCTGCATATGTATTCTCAACTGACTTGAAGACGGGTTGTTGGCTTTCTACCTCCTGGCTTGAGATTGTCTGCCTTTATATCATGTGGCTTTCTTCAGCCATCTCCTGCAGTTCCTACTTTTAATTTATGACAACCAGCATCAGCTTTCTGCTTTTTAAATTTCAGACATGCACATATACAAATGCACACTTATTATGTGCATATGTGTACGTATACACACCTGCCTTCACTCTCCTTCAAAGTAGTTTTCAAGTTACGATCTTCTTTCTTGGCTGTGTCTTTCACTAATATCTACTAAAATATTCTCAAAGATCTTCTAATTCTCACTGACTCCTGCAACTGACATAATGACATTCCAACTCCAAAAGGAAAAGAAATGTAATGTTGGACTAAGAGACAGGAAAACTAAGGTAAACAGAAAAAATCCAAACATTATCTGTATTATCTTTTATGCCTTACAGTCCTTGATGCTTGATGCAGCTATGAGCTTCATCATCCACTCATGCCACTCACTCTAAATCACTATCTTCTTCACAGAGACAGTCTGCCTCAGACCTCTTTTTGCATGTGAAAATCCTAGACCATACTTAAGATTTTCAGCCCCTGTCTTGTGCTTTTCTATTGTTCATGGAAAGAGAAAGCTGTGTACACAGCAAGAGTATCAACCGACCTAAGTGATACTCATTCTGCATGTTCAAGAATGCCATTACCTTGAAACAGGTTACCCAAAGGATTAAGTTTATAGTCTTCATATTATCTGTAAATTTTGCAGTTGAAAGAACTCCCTAGTCATGATCACAAACCTGAGTATTGTGTTCCTCAAAGGCAACAGAAAGCACATTTTTGTTTACAACTGAAATAAAAATACAGTTGTTAATTTTTTCCAATAATATTGATCAGTATAGTCCCTCATGATTGCCTGAGTGGGGGGTTGTTTTCATTTTTAAATGCATGTATCTATCTCAAAACTCTCACTCCGCTACTTAAGTCCTACTGAATCTAGCAAAAGAATCAACATCTTCCACTTTTTCCTTGCCTTTTCACTAAATGTAAAGTATTTCTCCCCACATTATCTGAACTGACCAAATACCACTTGAAAGCAAAGATTTCTGAACTGAAGAGCATAGTACAATATAAAATTATTTCTTTCCACAATTGCAACTTTCTCCATTTGTCTGAAGCTCTGCATACTTTGTTACATCAGAAAGTCCTCAACAAACAGGTTTATATGAGTTACAAAGCTGAATACCACTGGTATTAGGGTCTTGAACACTTCTGGTTCCCAGTATGCACAGTAAAGTGTTGTAACAAGCTGTTGTCTTGATTACCTCTACCTATAGTGAAAATAAAAAGCGCCAATGAAAGAATCCACAGCAAACTTTGCAGACCTGAAGGGAAGTTTTTTTACGTATATAAAGTATCAATGCAGTTTTAAAACTTTTGATAGCATTTGACCTGCATATTCCTTCTACTTTGCCAAAATATGCCAAAATTTCTTAAGATTCACAGTTAAACATTGTAAGTATTGTAAAATGGGCAAATGCTGTATCCTATACACTTTACAAGTCTCTAGTCCTGGAAAAATTAGTCAAATTATGTTTCATGAGCATCTTCATGAGGCCAAAAATCCACTGACAAATTAAAATTAAGTCTTCTATAAATACATTTTTATTCCATTTATGCACACAGCTTTTTATAGCTTTAAACCTCCTCTCTTTCCCATTTTTAAACACTATTGAAACTGTCAGGAGCTACATTTTACATTTTAACAATCATTGCATACACATCATGATTCCTAGAATTTAAAATGGAATTGTTGACGGTTCAGATACTGTTAGACTGTCATTAGTTCTGCAAGGTATGTAATTTGTCATTTTGGAAGAAATGACAGTACCTTCACTTGCACAACATCCTTTTAAACTTCCTCTCTCTAACTTGAAAATGCCAGTATTATACTCTGCTTCAAGAGAGATATTTTTAAAGCCTGCAGGTTGAGTTGTCACAGAGCAATTTGTCAGGTAGTATTTTGTCTTCATTAAGGTTTATTCACAGAAAGTGATTGGCCTCTCCGTGATATTCCCCAAAGACAATACACTGTGTCTTACCTGATGGTAATGAGGCCTGTGTTAAATTTTCACTTTCCTCATCCGTGCTGCCATCATAGTCATTTTCTCTCCCCATAGCCACCTGAGTGGTAGCTATACTATCCCTAGGAAAAAAAAGGTACATCTTTCCATCTATTATTCCTGGAAAGTATTTATGATATTAGGCAATGCAAGCTGATACACTTCAATGTAGAATCCCCATGCTGAAAAGCTTAGCATATTCATATACAAGGACAGACAATAAAAGGTAAGTTAAGATATAAAAAAGCAAGATGAAAATAGTAAATGAACTAAAGCATGTTGTAGCATTAGAATTATTCATCTTCTCTGGATATACTTGAAATAAAAAGTACATAAAAACATTTAGATTTACATATTTTTGTTCCCTAAAGGACAAAAGGAATCAAATAATTCAGGGAGAATGTATATGAAAGTACCACCTATGGAAATGGCAGGGACATACTCTGATTGGAAAATCAACTGCTACTTAACAGAAAAGAGAAGAGGACAGATTCATTGAATATTTAGTTCTTGGTTACAGCATCCAAAGCAATATGCTGCCATTTGCAGTGATGTCACAAAGAATCCTCTGCTTTCATGACTAACAGTATTGTTCTGGACAACCAAGCACTTAGCCAGGAAGAACTGTCACTCGCAGTTAGAGCCAAAGGAGTGGAAACCAAGCTAAACTAAAATATGCATCAGGTATGATACCAAGTAACTCAGGAAAATTAAGAAATACCTTGTACATTTGGCATCTGCTGCAGATTCTTTAGCTTCATTCAACAACTTCTGTAAGTTTCTTATCTTTGCCTTCTTTTCATTCAGCACCAAAATAAACCGGTTATAAAGATCTGCCTCTAGTTCTTCTTTAGCTTTCACACATTTTTCCAGCCTACAAGGTAAAATTAACTGTTACACTATTTCTTTGCAAAATTCTGTGTTTCCTGGAAGAAAATTCTGTAGTGAGGCCAGCCTTCCTATTACAGGAATCCCCACACCAAACCACACATGACTAGTCCAGCATCTCATGTCTGAAACAGGCCAGAAGAAGCTTTTTTTCCACAGAAAAGTGCAACAAACTTTGCTACCAAAAGGGGAAAGTTTCCAAGGGGACAATTTTCTTTTCATGCTTTTTTGATAGGTTCTTGCACACATGCATCTGAGACAACAAAAATTGAAATAGGCAAGTGTTCTTTAGTTTCAATGCTGAATTCACCACAGTGGGCATACCTTAGCAGGATACACATAATGAAATTACAAACAGATATGATTAAACTTGACAGGTCCCAAATCTGGAACACACACTCTGACTTGAAATATATTGGAACAGGAGAGCGAGGGGAAAAAAAAAAAACAAACAAGAAATAGGCAGCTCCACTCCAACATGGGCTGAGATGACCACCAAATATTTTGGGCAACTGGGACAGCTCCAGAACTCTTTCCATCCTAGGAATCCCCAGGCAGACATGGGTGTTAGAGACCTTTGCCTGACCATTTTCCATCAATGGCCTTGTATGTCTTGTTGTGGTGAGCTGGCAAGGTACAGAAACCAGTTCCTGGCAAAGCTCAGCAGGACACTGCAGCAACACCTGATGGCAACTGTAATCCCTTACAGCCATTCAGACAAATTCAATGCTCGTAACTTCAGCGCTGCGGACTCCATTTCAAATTACACAGATACAGAGCTGGAATCTTGGAACACCTGCAGCCACCACTAGCAGATTTTTCTTTTTTTTCCCCTGAACCAATCCCAATTACTTGGTAGAGGGATAAACACTTACAACACAACATATACATAAATATTTTAAAAGCTCTTTATATCTTCAGAGTAAAATATTCTTCAGTTTTTTAAAGGATTAATGTGCACCTGTATGTAGGTCAATGTCAATAAAATGAAGCACAACGGAAATACAAAATTAAGAATATGGATGTATACTGTATCATAAGCAAAGCAAAACTGGATAAGCGCCATAAATGAAGTGACTTACAGCAAACGTGATCCTATATTTACTTCCTGTATTTCATAACTTTTTAGTACTTGGGTTGAACCACAAACATTTTAATAGCTGTGTTCAGAACAAGCAAATAAATATCTTGATAATCTTATTGATCATGGTAAATACAGTATTATAGCAAATAGTAATAACTTATAAACAACATTCTTTTCATCAACCTGAGTAAGGTTGGTAAAAAAATTTAGAAGGCTTCCTTTGTTACTACACCCAAACACATAACAGATTTTTAAAATATTAATTTATAAGGTAAGAAATTTCAACAGACTTCCTATATAAATACTAATTATTTCGTTCATAGACCAAAACCATGTATGATGTAAGAAGAAAGATAATAGAAAATAATCTCATGAAGTATTAAGTCTACTATGCAATGCTTTAGGGATATGCTTGATAGTTGATAAATAATTCATCTAATTTAAATGCAAATAGCAGAACATCATTACCATATAGATCGGTTCAATAATTCCTAAATGAAAGATCATACGCACTAATCAACTACCAGGAGACTTTCCACCTACAAAATGAACGTTAACTGTTTGGTGGGGAACAAATACACAATTCACAAAGAATCATAAACCCCAATACAGGGTCCAGAAGTGCCTGCACATGCTCGAAACTAATTATGTCTGTATATAAAAAAGTGGAAAACAAGGGTTTTGTGTGAAATATGGTAATCCCATCTGCATCAAATCCTATAGAAAAGTCCGCTCTCTCACACACAAAACAATACTAACTAAAGAAAGTGCTTACTACTGTGTCTTTATTTTGCCAATGGACTGGTTTGTGTCACAGCAGCTGAGGTTGGTTTGAATAGTTACATTGAGACATTTTGCTGACTTGGCCAAAAAGGTGTCATGTAAGATGACTTCAGTGAGGCCATTGAATCCCGCAAAGACATGCACTGAAGAAAATCCACATAACTGTAAACTCTCAATGAGGTAAAGTTGATGCTGCCTGGACATTAACAAGCACAGTACAGGAACCTATTGCAAGACTAGCCAATTTTTTCAGCCTCCGGAGCAAAATATTAGCATCTCAAAATACACATAGTGACTATATGCATAGATTAGAATATTAACTCTTCCCTGTAGACAAAATTAGTAGTATGCCATCAGTTAATCTTATATGATCGTTTTCATTTACGTGAATACCTTTTTTTTCCCTGTTGTTTAGAGTAACCCACATATAAATACATTATCCAGACACAGATATGACATAATTTGATATATAAATAGATACGACATAATGTTAATTTGGCATAACATTCAACCAGTGTAAAACAGTATTACATTAATGTTATATTTGCAAGTCATGAGCCTTTAAAAGTATACTATGATATGGCATATGGTAATACTTCAAAATGGAATAGTAAAAAGCAACAGTCCTCTGCTGCTTGGGAACAGGGATGCATTAATTAGGCAGAACGTGTGGGGGATGGCTCTGGCTGCAACTCTGCATGGCCTTTAGGATTCACTCAGGCATGCATTACCTGAATTACGTGACCACTAAGTGAAGCTGGCTGGGTTTCATTCCAATACCTCATTGGTTACAAATACAAACTTTAATTGCAATTCGTCACATGCTTATGCCTGTATGTGGTTTGTCTCACTAAAATACCATCTCCCCAGGCCAAATAAAGAAGCTGCTCATCTCAAAGACAACTTTCAAGTACAATGAAAATAAACAGAAGTTAACGGCTAGAGTGGTGCAAGTCTTATTTGCACGTGCTTTCCAACTTCTATATTCTTAGATCTCACTGTTATGTCAGCACAATGCTTTTCATGTGCCAGACATGTCCAAGTTGACAGCCATCAAAAAGCTTGCACAGCCTACTGAAAGTAGCTACTATTAGGAATGGTTACAGTTAGTAATTGAGACAATAAGGTAACTGTCCAGTTCTTAAGTGCTACCTAAACATGGAGCAATCACACATGCTTCACAGAGGTTAACGTGAACTATGTAACTTAATGGCATTTACACATTTCTCACACTCCAATACTAGAAAGTAAAAAATCAACACCTCTGCTATCTATCCTTGTCCTCAGTGCTCTAAAATAATTACTGGTCTTATGGCACTGCTTTATTACATTTCAGATTCAGCCCTCCCCCAACATTGGCAATGGTATTGAATCTTGATGAGCTAAAGCTGAAGAGTCAGTTTGAAGCACCTAGATACCTAGCTTGCATTTTTATAAGCTGTTTGTGGTTTAAATATATTGTCACTATAGTTGACCACAGCATAAATTAACAGCTATTTTGATTTTGGCTTGTCTACACTAATTTTAGATGTTTGATACAAAATATATACCACACTCAAATCAGAAATTTAACTCGTGTTTTATTGGCCAAGGAATTACTTTGTTGCAGATTATTATTGCTTTACATTTACCATCTTAATTATCTATATGAAATAAAACATAAAGCTATTCCGCTGTAATACTGATCCATCCCTGATGTGTGCGCACGCACACACACACATTCACCCCCAGGCACCCACTTGCAGCATTTTCAGAGTAATCCTTTTGAAAATTTCCATAGCCTCTCTATTTAGATCTTGCCAGATAGTGCATTAGTAATTTTTATTTTAAGTTTTTAGATCAAGTGCTGAATGGTCTAGCTAGCCAATAACTCTCATGCTGATGTCACCTACATACGGATCATTTCCTAAAAGCAAAGAAATGTTCAGTCAGGTAAAATCCTACATTTTGGTCATCACAATGAGCAAGATGATGAAAATTAGAGGAGTTACAGTTTCAATCAGAAACACTCTCAACACCTCAGATGCCGCACAGCTTAGACTACAGTACGTCATTTAACAATTTCATGAAGCAGCAGACTTCTCTTCAAAGGGATTTTTGGCCTGCTCCTGCCTTTCACCTTCATGCGAACCCAAATTGCAGAGGGACGCAACAGGAGCCATTTCTATACCTGGAACAGGGCACCCAGCAGAAAGCTGTTTACAGCTGAGCAGATTATCTCAAGTACATTGAGGCAGTTGCCAGCAGCAGATCAGGGCTGGTATTCAGCCTACGGATTGCTCACTACGCAGATGCAGCCTCCTGAAGGAAACTTGCTTGCCATTTTACAGACTGAGTGGAAAGCAGAACAAGTTTACACCTCAAGAGACCCCGGAGAGTCTAGAGGCAAAGCTGCTGAGCTGAGCTCACAGAACTTTCATGATGGTCACAAAAATTAGAGTAGGGAACTGGGATGATTGAATTATTCCATTCAGTCCCCTACGCTTAACCTGAACAAAACCAGCTCTTGGAAGTCTGCACGCTATGTTTTAATTCTAATGAGGTCCTGAAGACAGAGATTTTAAGCAAAGGGAACTGCAGGGGCTGAAACTCTGGAGCTGATGTGCCTTAGCTCCAGGTGAAGAGGGAGCACAATTCTCCACATCACATGCTTTATATTTGATGTTTTACCACTCAACACCATGAGTGATACAGACTGTGAAGCCTGAAATCCTGTCTACTGAACAAAGACAGGCAAAGCTTTTGTTCAGCTCCAAGAAATTCAAAACACTAGGTCCAACATTTGGAGCCAAAAGAGCAGAGAGAGACAGCAGGGTAGACTAGGCTGTGCCAAAAAGCATTAGAACAAACCAACCAAAACAAAACAAAAAACTAACACTGTTTGGAGGAAAACTATTTTTATTCATTTAGTGGACATGGTCAAAATTTGGTGACCATACAACTTTCACTATTTTGAAAATTCACATTTCAGCTATTCAAAATATAATACTAAAGAAAATTACCAGCTTTTGAAGCTTGAATACACTGCTTCCAAGAGCAAAGGCTGTCAGGCAACTGCGATTTTTTTTTTTTTTTTTTTTGGGTGTCATTTTTTTTTTTTTTTTTTTTTGGGGGGGGGGGGTTACTCTTTAAAAGTGCCACACCACCATGGAAATTGATACAAGCACTAATGCCTATTACACATTAGCGTGTAATGCAGTACAGCATACTGGTTATACAATACGCTATTGTGCAATAAACCGTTAAGCAGTACAACACCACTTAGGAAGGCCATATGCTTGTCAGGGAGATTGTCAGGAGAAACTGTTACTCATTTTAATGACAGTGAAACAAAACTAACTCCTCCCTAAAGTTAACTCTTTTTCAAGGTAAATTAATACCAATTAGCTACATTCTTTCATCAGTCTTCCTAAATGTGTTTTTTCAGATAAAACTATAGAAAAAGAAGATAAATCTCTGACTTGTATGTGCTAAGCATTTTATGCTAACTGAAATAAGCACAGATTACTTCACTACAGAGCGTCG